TAAAGACAGGAAGCTAAGCAATGGGCACCTGGGATCTCTCTCAACTATTTTTATAACTTCTAGTGAGTCTAATTATTCAAAATAAAAATGTTTTTAAAGTAAATTCATAGATTAAATGCATCACTATATAAACTATGATTTAAAATTTAATTTTCTAAACATAGTATTCAACTTCATTGAATAAATATAGGATAGAAATTAAATACAATTTTTATTTCATTCTTAAGAAAAAACTCATGTTTGTAACAAATGATATCTAAAGATCTATTTTGCCTTACCAGAAAATAAAATAAATAAATAAATAAATAAAACGAAAAAGTCCTTTTCCCTAGGATGTCAAAAATGCTGTGATTTTAAGTATCTGATTATATTTTTCTCTTTCTATGGTAGCAGGATTTACTTCTGAGGATAAAATATTTTGAAAAGGTTCTGTCCCTTGACGTGGTAGTTCTCCTGTGCCTTGTACAGGTTCTCTCTCCAGATGTACAGTGTGACAAGATGCTCACTTTTAATAAAGAAGGTGTAGCTTTTCGTTTTAAGCTGTAATTGTCCTTGTCTTGATTTGGTTAAATTTGGGTGGCAATGACGGCCTTTTGTATATGTTCTTGATATAAAGAAGTATTTTTTGCTGCCATTCAGCTTTGTAGAATTTATGTTTACTTTTCAATGTTTCCATATTTTTAAATCAGATTTTAAGAAAATTTATTTTGAAATTAAAGGTCAGTAATCCCATTATCCTCAAACTTGAAGTTTCATTAGATGTTCAAAATGCTAATTTTCGCAGAGATACAAGGATAAATTTTTTTTTTTTTTTAGTTTTTTTTTTTTAAGAGTTTGCAAAATAATTTGCCTCCCAGACTCTTGGGGTGTAGTGTTAGCTAGGAGCCCAGGTTACCTGCCCTGGAATTAAATTGTGATTGAAGTTGAGAGGTACTCTAGGAATTTAAAAGGACACAAAATTATTTTTTTTTCCAGCCTAGTGTGCCATGAATTTCAGATAAGAATTAACACTCTTTTTTTTTTAAAAAAAGGCATCACTTTTGTTGCCCAGGCTGGAGTGCAGTGACACAATCTCAGCTCACTGTACCTCTGCCTCCTGGGTTCAAGCGATTCTCCTGCCTCAGCCTCCCAAGTAGCTAGGATTACAGGTGCCCGCCACCACACCCAGCTAATTTTTTGTATTTTTAGTAGAGACAGGGTTTCACTATGTTGGCCAGGCTGGTCTCAAACTCCTGACCTCAGGTGACCTACCCACCTTGGCCTCCCAAAGTGCTGGGATTACAGGCGTGAGCCACCTTGCCCAGCAAGAATTAACATTCTTAAACAAAGGTATCAGAAAGGATAACTCGATTTGAAGGTTTGTGAATAGAAAGGGAAATGTGATAGAAGATTATTCAGAACAAAATAAATAGACAACAAAATAACAAGACAGGAAAATAAGTCTTTGTATCCTTATTATTAATCATTTGAAATTATGCTATGATATTTTTAAAAAATAATCTTTTTGGTTCTGGGAGCAGCAGTTCCTAAGGGAGTGTTTTTTCAGAATATATTGTTAGGTGAATAGAGGGTTCCATGGCCAAGTAAGTTTGGGAAACAGTGGGTTAGACAAAGTTGAGTTACTGTTGGCCTTTCAGAACCTTTAATATGCCAATGTGCATTTTCAGTCTCCAAGAAGCACTTCTATTTTATACATCATTTCCCTAATTTATATGGAGTTTTTGGTTTTGTTTTTTTGAGAAGGAGTCTTGCTCTTGTTGCTCAGGCTGGAGTGCAGTGGTGCGATCTCAGCTCACTGCAACCTTTCCCTCCTGGGTTCAAGTGATTCTCCTGCCTCAACTTCCCAAGGAAGTGAGATTGCAGGCGCCCACCACTACACCCAGCTAATTTTTGTAACATGAGGTTTCACCGTGTTGGCCAGGCTGGTTTTGAACCCCTGACTTCAGGTGATCTGCCCACCTTGGCCTCCCACAAGGCCAGCGTGAATTCCAGCGTAATTCATGCTGAAATTACAGGCGTGAGCCACTGCACCCAGCCAGAATTTTTTAAAAGTAGGTATCTTGTGGAATTTGTATTCTAAGAGATACACTTAAGGAAATGCTGCCCTAGAGTGTTTTTGCTAGTTTATGTTCATTGCAAAGGTTTCTTATTGTTGGGTGCCCCTCTAGCCAGTGGTAGTAAAATGGGAAGAGACAGGTCAAGACTCACTTGGACTATGGCGTTTAGAGAGGGATGGCTATGGGCATAGATATGTGGTTATTTAGGCATTTGTGAGGCCCCTGGTTATTCCATCCCTTTCCCTAGAATCTCAGTTGGCCTGGAACAGCTGTACAGGGGTCTAAACTGGTGGTTTCAGAGGACTAACCAGTTCCTAAACATCCATGAGGCAGAGGGAACCAACTTGTATTTCCAGAACAATTTTTCAGACCTTGCCTGGCTGTGCTTTAAAAGTGCCAAAAAGGCAATGGGTGTTTATGACACTAAAGTCACATACAAGCTAGTATAATACATACATCATAGAAAGCTTATAGTTGCTTTAGTGACAAAGCAAAGGAAGTTTAATATTTTCAAGTTTTGTTCATTACCAAAGACAGTCTAAGGTTCATAATTTTCACTAAATTCTAAGCAGATTCTATATCCAAAAACATTTAAACCTCACTAGGCCTCCAAACTGGAGAGGGTTAACTAAATATGCTTCACTTCAGAGTCTAAAACCAGATTACTAATCACGTGTAAGGAAGCATTTTGTTTTTGCAATGTGTACAACTGCATATATGGAACGCTGTTTTGAATGTGTATATGAAAGAAGGCTCTCCTGTGGGTTTTGAGTTGTGGTATAATGGTGACATGTAGCCACATGAAAGGCAGTTGGATCTTTGTTCTGATTCTTCAGTCTTCCGCTCACAAATTCAGAGAAATGTCTTTTAATCATTTCGTTTACATATCCCAGATCCTTGGAGATCATGAAAAATAGCTTGCCAGTGTTTGCATCAGCCCTCAGCAAGTCATGAACCATAGAGAAGGTCATGGGGCCATTCGTTCTTTAGACTATTGGTTACTTCTGCAGTACTGGCTTCCTTCTCTCTAATTGAAGGAGTAGTGTACTCAAGATCTTAAGTTAAATGCATAAAAATGAGTTTTACTTCTTTTCTGACTTCATTTTTAATTTTGTGAAACGGGAAATCATGTTTTCCCGTTTTTCTATTCCTTTTGAAGTGGGAATTTGAGGTGCTTGTAATGTCACGTTAGTGTCTGAACAATTGACAGTAAAGAAAAGGAATATATATATGCAGTATGCATATTAGTTTTGTCCCACCAAGCCTATCTTTGAATGGCAAACATTTTAAAACATCTGTTCTAGTTGCACAACTACTATAGCTTCATTATAAACAATTTTAAAGTAAGCAATGTTGGCCATAATTTCAATATTCTAGCCTTGCCGAGTGTGACTATATTTTATTCAGAGACTGTATAAATACACTAAAGTGGTGATGGTGATCAATATTGTAAAGAATTTATTCTGATAAATCAGAAACTGCATAATGTCAAAATTGATATTTTCTCAATAAAATCTCAAATCGTCTGACTGCTTATTAATTCTTGATTTAATGCTATTTATTCCTTGAGATAAATCTTTTCATTGGGAATAATTTTTTGGTGGTTGAATGTAGTTGTTCAGGGCTGGGACTGAGCTATATACATTTTTAAAATGTCCATTTTTTTTTTTTTTTTTTTTTTTT